AAAATTTCAGTATTGTTACTGATCATGAAGCTATTCCTTGGTTAAAGAAACACAAGCAACCTAAAGGACGTCTAGCCCGGTGGATAATTCATTTGTCTGAATATGAACCTTATAACATTATTAAACGAAAAGGAAGTGATCATACAAATGCAGATGCACTCTCAAGATTAGAAACTAATCCAGTAGATAGTCTTCTTTCTCTTTTATTTTAACCCTTTTTATATATATTTATAAGTACACCATTTATCATGGACTTGAAAGTGTACAATGAATTTATTGATTACTTACTTCGACATAATTATCCACCTGAATTAACTCCACAACAAAAACAAAAATTAGCAAGACAAGCAACCCAGTATATAGTAGAAAATGGCATTTTATTTAAGAAAAATAAACAGAATCCTGAAAACCCCCTTCGTGTTATAACTCTGCAGGACAGAGAGAAAATTTTATATAATTTGCATTCGTCCCCTTTGGCAGGACATTTTGGTCTAAAGAAAACAATAGAGAATGCAACAAGAAAATATTACTGGCCTGGTATGGGAGCAGATATTAAAACTTATATTGAATCTTGTGACAGTTGTCAAAGATTTGGGAAGCCAGGAAAAGTACAACTATTACAATCCATACCAGTAGTACAACCATTCTATCAAATAGGAATAGATTTCATAGGACCTTTAAATATTACCCCCTCTGGAAACAAATATATTTTAGTAGCTGTTGATTACTTTACTAAATGGCCAGAAGCAAAAGCAGTAAAAGAAGCCACTGCTAAGGAAACCGCTAAGTTCCTATATGAAACTATTATTTGTCAACATGGAACTCCCTCAATAATATTATCCGATAGAGGAACTCATTTTGTAAATGAAACAATTAAATTAATGAAAGAGGAAGTAGGATTCAGACATAAACTTTCCTCTGCTTACCATCCCCAAACAAATGGATTAACGGAACGATTCAATGGTACATTATGCAGGTCTCTTGCTAAAAGCTTGCAGACCAGTGAATCTAATTGGGATGAATTAATTCCTAGTATTTTATTTGCATATAGAACATTAAAACAAGAATCTACAAAATATACTCCTTTTTATCTCGTACATGGTAGAGAAGCACAACTACCAATAGATATTGAATTCCAAAATCAAGAACAAAATTTTAATCCAATTGAAAATTTTGAAGAATCCTTGAATAGAAGGATTAGTGCTTTAAAGGGAATATTTATTGATGCTCAAATCATTAATCATAGAAATATTCAACATGCACAGGAACTTCAAAGGAATCGGCAACAAAATTTGAAGAAAGCTCAAACTTATGAAGTTAATGATATCATTTTATTGTATGACTCTGCCAAACAACATGTGCATGGAGATAAATTTTCAATAAGATGGAATGGACCTTTTTGGATACAATCAAAATTAGGAAACAATACATATTTAATTCGTGATAAATTAGGAAGGATACTCCAGAAGCCAATTCATGCAGAGAAAATGAAACATTACAAACAGAGATATCTTGTAGAACCACATGTTGTAATTGCCTCTTGAATTACACAAAATTAATTTTGTGCAAAAATTTGAAATTTATATATATATGTGTTTGGTACTATGGGTAATTTTAATTGAGAACAAAATGAATTTACAACTCACCTCTGAACAACAACAAAAATTAATAGATCTTTATCAAAGTTTCCACCCAACTCCTAATATAAACATACAATTCAATCCTGGCACAATTAAAATAAAAATAAATAGTTGTGAAACTACTGTAATAGTTCCTGAAACAAAAACAAAAAGGAAGCCAATGAGCAAGTACATCGAAGATGCATATGATGCTGAATACGAATTAGACCAAACTGTTAACAATGAGGAGAATTTTGATACTCTTTTAAGATTTACAATCGATCCGAGTAAATCTAATGGTCAGAAAATACAAGCTTATTCCAAAGTTTGGAACCAAGTAACTCAGAAAATAAAAAGGGAAGGAGAAACAACAGACCAGATTAAGAGAAATATCTGGAATCTAATCCAAAGAAATGGAACCCGCTTCTTGAGAATTGCTCAAAAATCCAATAAAGTAACAGAGGTAGTGGGAGAGTTTTTACCTCGAAGATTTGAGCATATTACTCCTACATGGTTAAGTCATATTAAAAATGAAGAGTTTGAAGAGTTTTTAATTAAACTCAAAGCTAGATATAGACAAGAAATAGAGCTTCTCGCAGGAGCTCGAGAGTAAAGGAGGAAATGTTGTAACACCTGAAATTATTATTTTTATCTTTTATTTATTATTATCTTCTTTATTTGTATTATTATTAATTATAGTTAATTTTGTAAATCAGTGGTACGAATTAAGAAGTGCTACATTTAAAGATTATCATTGTTAATTTACCCAGGTATATACCTAGGTACGATACCTAGGGAAATACCCAGGTAGGATACCTGGGGA